GCCCAAGCGACAGTTGTCAGATTCATTCGCAGCCAAGAAACTGACTCTAAATTCCAGCGCACACACTGTAGTTTCCCAGGCAATCCAATCAGCTTTCGAGTGCGGTAGGAAGTATGGTCTGCTGCACTCTATTTAGCCTTTTCAGCCCCAATAATTCATATGATCTCAACTAGTTGAGTCGCGTGTGTCTACAGTCTCTTACATAAGTCTACCCAGATTCGCCTAGTCACTGCCTATTAGGTGCTTGTCACAGCAATTCGCTGCTGACTTGACTTTGCCGATCCGACATCGTATCATCGCATAACATTGTCTTTCTAAAAGCGACGGTGTTTAGCGCACTGGATCTCCAAGTAGAAAATGACATGGAGCGAGAGGAAGCTCTGCAACTTATTTTTCATATAATCTTGGTCTACCAAAATTCGCATCTGAAACGCCTTATTGAGTTCTCGGCTGCGCAGCAGGATGGCAAGTGAGTCCTTCGCAACCATTTTATTCTTCTTTGAAATCATACAGAGCCAGCATTCAGAAAGTACGCATTTCCGAAATCCATGATGCAGCCTGTGATTGCTGTGGCACTGCGAACAGTATGCGCCGGTAGTACCAAGGATACAACAGTGCAGGATAAGACTGCAGTTGAGCCTGAGGAAGACAAGTAAATTTTGAAAAGTCATTGGTAGTATGTGTAGCTGGAAACTGAGCGTATAACGAGCATCTTGAACATTTGTTCAACTTTTCATTCAAAGAACATTTTTTGAGGCTGGCTCTCGGTTGCTTTGCAGTGTTTCTGGAATTCTGTGTTTTGGAACCTGAACTTGTATTGGACATGGCCGGGACGGATTGGATGGTTAGTAAGTTTGAGATAATTTCGTCCCGAGCAAGGTTTTGACATTGAGATGATTCAAGTACGAAACATATAAGAACAAATAGAAATTAGGTACGAATACTTACCGGAGCAAGCGCTATCAGCGAGAGGGTTACCGCTGTCGTTGCGCGAATCTTGGTTGCGTGGCTTGATCAGCCAAAATTACGGGCGAAGGGACAATTGCACCTTGTTCTCGAGGTATGCAGTCTTTTGCCATCTTTGTATTATTATGCACATGGGTGTTTTTAGCAAATTTTTGCTCCTCTTATCGAGTTCGGCTTTTTCCAGAAAAATCTGTCTTCTACCGAAATGTAAGCTTTCTACTAGAATTTGAGGTGAAGTTTTCTAGAAATACCTATCTTACAGCGGCGAACGTATTGTAGAGTCCGCCATGAGCAATTTCGCACACTCGTTTCTATGCATTCTTCGGTCGTGGCCGGGTCTTTTTTCGTGCGCCGCTATCGGGCCAAATTCTTCAGCAATAGCATCTTCCCCTTTGAGGTATTGTCGTCCCTGCATTAATGGTTTTGAAGGATCTAGCTCTATCATTCTCTTTT